TAAGAGACTACGGGATCTTTTCGAACTGTTTCATAAAAAACTACTGTCTGTACTTAATACTATATTTTCGCTAAATAATGTATTGAAAGGAACTTTTTTGCATGTACATTAAACTTATCAAATGTGAGGTTGAATTCCCGCCAAACCTTTTGCCAAATGTTCTAGATGGTATTGCAGGTTACTTTGGTTTGGAGACTCACGTGAAAATATTCGATAATGGAAAACATACCGGGAATAGCATGTAAACAAACCGATAATTCGATACGCCACCCTGGAATGTGCCCTCGCTACTGGAAACGAAACGGTAGCAACAGAACGAACTACTGTATCCTGAAAACGGTGTGAACTTTTTGTGGTGTGAAAGTGGGGGCAAAATGTTCAATAAATACGTTTTTAATAAAAGTGGAAATAGGATGTGAATAAAGTTTAAATTAATTTAGAGCCGTTAATTTTTTTTTTTAATTAAAATACATGATTTTATCCTGTGAAACAGAGGATCGATATGAAATTTTTTATTATCATTCTGAAGATATGTACCGGAAAGCAATATTCATTAGTCAATAAACCACATGCAGTGTCATCAATTCTCAATACAATTTCCAATCTTAATATTATTCAACCCATATTTTCAAATTCATAAACTAACTCATCTCTCAAAGTAATTAAGATACAAACACCATAAAACATCAATTTGGTCCATCTCCAGGCCTGCGTTTCTCATGGTGGTCGGTCATCGTCGGCTGGGAGTGTCCGAATGATTAGTTGATATGGCAATGCCCGAGATGTTACATATTTTTGATTTTCTTTTTCTCCTTGTCGCCTTGCTTCCCATCGCGATGGCTAGCCGCTTGACAAAGGAATCAAGCCATCAAAGCCCACGTATCATCATCAAACGTAAAATATATCACAGCTCTTGGAGACACACCATCATCAAGCTCAAACAGATAAACGCTGAACTGATCTCGTCATCCTCGAACTAGCATCAAACTCATCGGCTCTCCAGCGCTCAATAGCGATCCACGATTGGGTTGGCTCTCCCTCTCAACCTGATCGCTCGCCACCAAGAAGGTGAATCTCCAAGAGCAAAGAGCTCACCTATCACATATTATTATTGTCTCTTTGGCACATCATCAGGTACAGGCATTCGGTGGGTTCTCCCGGTGGTGGTCGACTGAACTGGGACCATCATAAAACGCACGCGACAAAAGTAGCAACCACGTTCTCTCGGCGGCGCTTTCATATCCGAGTGTTATCAGCACACTGGATGAAATATAAGCGTTTTGGTGGACATAAATACGGACAATATTGGTGGACATAGTATGGCTAATATTTGCTAGATTGAATATTAGTGGGCAACATTAATCATTAAGACAATTGTTGCCTTCATTTTTCCCCACGAACAAACGAAATGTTTAGTTTTTAAAATTGAGGTAGAACTAAATAGATGTTCAATTTTATAGCTTTCACTCGAATTCTGCACAATGGCCTAGCGTCTTCACGTGTGCTGCATAGCTTTGGCGCTTCCTAATATAGATTGATTGATCAATAGACTAAATAATGATCTGGGTTCGTCGCCTGCCAAGTTGAAGTCATTTGAACCAAAATACAGAGGCTGCACACTTAATGGCATACGCGATGTTCGGAACTATTTTTTAGCGCAAAACTTTTAAATTGAAATAGAGTCTGCTTTTTTCCATGCTTATATCGCAATTTTGTACTAAAGGTTAGTATTTTCCAAAATCATTTACAATGTTCTGCTATTTGCGTTATTGGTATGGGTTTTAACCTTAAATTATCTTCTGTGGTCAATTATTTCAGTAATATAAATTACTGGTTCGTCGGTAATCACATCTCTTTTACTGTATATTCATCATTTCATTACTAAACAATTTCGAATTGACTGACAAACTGTAATTTGTGATCTTACGTGGAATATCTATCAAAATTTTCGAAAGCACATCAGTTTGTTTGTACAATTTTTTATTACGAAGTAAAAAGTGTATTTTCCATGAAGTTTGAGTGAATTTCTCACCAAGTTTTGGCAAGAACTGCAGGAAATGAGCGATTTACTCAAACGCACTGTAGGATCGACAAAAATAATGGAATTTGTCAACTAGCTTTAACTTGATTTGTTTGCAAATATAAAAAATCATGTATTTTTGTATACATCTGCAGCTCATTTTTTATTCGCACCATAGTAAAACGAACCACCATAGTCGTGACAATTTATTCGTTGAAATACACACGTCTATTATTTTCCGTCTATGTTTATACAGGAATCCCCCAAACAGTTTTCTGTCGCTTTTTTCGACTATTTTCTAACCAATCGAACTGATTTGACTTGTTTAAGGTTGACTTTAAGGTGATTCCTTGAAGAGTCCAACAATGGCTGTCATGATGGCTGATATGCCATGTCACTTCAAGTTTTCTAGAGCACACATTTCGGATACGGATGTAACATCGCTAATGAAATTGGAACTCCCGGTTTGCTGCGCTGCAGCAAACATGGAGATCCTGTTTCATTATTGTATGTTTTGCATGAACCGATATTTGTGCTCTTGAATTTTCGATGTGATAATTTGTTGGAGGATAGCCGGGAAATAGAGAAGGTTGGTCAGAATTTCCCTCTATTCAGGAAGCTCCAGTTAAAAAAAAAACGAATCCGATTTCGTACTCAGCTATCGAGCATTTGTATATTTTAGCCGTAAGCTTTTCAAAAACGTACTGATTTGTTGTCGCGCTACAGCAACCGTTACGGTAATATTTGACAGCTTCGCAAGAGTCCCTTAACTACCGAGTACTCAGCATCTGGTGTAATTCTCGAAACGACCATCAAGTGCTCAGCTGTTCTAATCTCGAGAAAAATATACGTTCGGTTTGGAGTTCGGTGAAAAAAAGATAAATTATGCATCGAGTTTTGAGCAAAATTTAGCGCCACCCTTCCACTACCGTGTAAGAAAATTAAAAACTCCTTTCCTCCCCTCAAAATTACACAAAAAAATAACGAAAAAAGGAATTAGATTTTTAATTTTTTTTCTAATCTAATCTAACACCAACACAGCCAATTCATGAAATCATCCTGGAAAATGAAAGATATACCTCCATCCTTTTTCTTGTCTATTTGGTATATTTTGTACATCAGAGATGCGCGAAATATATCAAAACGACCAGGCCTGGATTTAAGGGACAAGATGATTCAAAAACATCGGGCCTGTTTAAATCAAAAATTTAAACACGATGCTTCAGAATCCAATAAATGGATGAAACGTGGACATCTCGTCCCGTACGTTCCGTTGAATTGTTATCTATAAATCATTGGTCGTTGGGAGCATCTAATCTAAAAAAGTTAAATGATGCTCGATTTTCCTCGAGTGGTTGGGACATGAATACTAACTCTTGTCTTAGCCCTATATGGCTTATGGTTATAGCGCCATTACTCGCTTTCTGAAAAGAGAAAAATGGAATAAAAGGCTGCAGGAGAAAGGAAAAGGAGGAGGGAACCCTAGTTCTATTTTCCCTTGTGTACAAACTGAAAAAAACGGGTCTCTAATCAATCTGCAAGAAAAGTACGCTAAAACTCACAATGACTCGCGATTTTTTACTTTTGTGTGCTTCATAAAACCTCGCAAAATTATCCAACGCTGAACACGAACAGGTGAGAGCTAGATTTCAGTAGAGAGCAATAGAAGGAAAATATATTATAAATTTAAGAACATTAAATGAAAATGAAGGGAAGATCTCAGTCAGTTTCATAAATTTTGTAATTTTACTGTCCTACTGCACTACTGTTGAACCAAAGGCACTTTCAAGACTTTTCCGGGTTATTTCCAAACTAGTTCAAAAAATCTTCAGGAACTTTAAGGTACAAAACATCAAACATCTTAAACCAAAAAAAAAGCACTAGGACGACTCTCTTGCCGAATGAACCAATAGGCAAATCTTTGTTCGAACTTGGCCATACCCACTCGTTCCCAACCTTTGACAATAGCGCGCTCGACATTTGATTTCTCATCAAAATACAGCACGAAAGCGGCTCTTCGAAATGATGTCTAAGACAAAGTTGTAGAAACCCTAACAGGTGAATATATAAACAGGAACAAACTAACCAAATGAACGATGGTTTGCCCGTGAAGCAAGCAAACTTGGAAGACTGTTGCATCTCCTAGTTCTTGGTCAACACTTCAAACCAATCCGTTGGATCTTCATAGAAACTCTTGCACAATCCGCCTCATAATCATCGGGCCAGCTTGCCAACCCCCTAATAGCAGTTCTGACGAAAAGGATGCTGATATAAAAAAAAACACTTTGAAATGCATTTTAACCGAGCACTTGCTTCTTGCTTCACAAAGGTTCTTTTCTAGAACTAGGTTATCGAGTGGCACATTGTTTAGGGCTAAAACGCGATGAAAAAATCAATGACAGAAAAAATTAAGCCTAAAATTTGATACTTGCAAATTGTTCACGTCCTTACAGAAGCAGAGCACACTTCGATCCTCTTAGATTTTTAATTGTTTTATCCAAAAAGTATGGGACTGTTTATAAACTGCGTAGACAATCTTCGAGACCATTTTTATTTGAAGTTTGTGTGTCTACGTGGTTTATGAACAGCCCCTATCTAAAGCATAAGTTTCCGATATCAACATATATTCTTACATTATTTAATGATGATCCCTTACGAAAACACATAAAATGAGTTTAAATCTATTTATCCGTTAAATTTTAAGTAAAATGGTCACAGAATGTTAACCGCCCTAACTATATCGTCGAATTTATACTATTCCCACTATTCCTGCCACCATGCTCATTAATAACGAAGAAAGAGGAATAACAACTGCCGTGGAGTGAGAAGAAAACAAGATACCTTCAGAAGCAGCATCCCACCGACAGTCTCTTCGAATAAAGAAGCATGTGGGAAGAAGTGAGATACAAATTATTCAGAGTTAATCTTTTTGTATCTGTCACTCATCTCGCATCAGCACTGTGCACTGATGATGCAGCATCCTCGCGAGAGATGCGTGTCTCCATGATGCTTGGAGAGTGTCGCGATCTCGTCAACGACGGAGACTTCTCAGATGGTCGGCTTAATCGTAATCAAACAGTTTATCTAAGTAAACAGACGTTAATGGTTGCCCAAGCGCGCGCGCTCCAACAGCTACCGTGTCAACAAGCGTGGTCTTTTTCGGTTGCTACTGTTCGAATTTACGTACATGTGACTGTGATTATTTAATGATTTAGAACCGGATCAGAGGATTTTATGTACTATGGGATTTAGTGATAACAAAATGAGTGATTTGAACTTTCTGCCCAAAAAGCACACCAACTTCAGCATTGAAAATATTTTGCTGAGAAATACAACCGCTACCTCAAGGACAGCTGAATTAGAACAAAAAGTGGATCTTACGGTGAAGACGTGCATCAAATACGAAAAGGATGACCTCAAAATATCTACCTCGGTGTTGTCGCCGTCGCCGGCCTCGTCGTCATCGTCATCTCAACCATCCAATCAACGTCCCCTGAATCGTGTTCTAGCCAATCCCTGGTGCTCCCGGGGATCGTTAATGTTTGACCCAAAGATCATCGTCAGTGCGAAACCAGCGACGGTCATCGAGTCCACCGTCGCAGTAACGGCAGCATCTACGGTAGCGTCGATAGCGCCTTCCACCAGCAGTAGTCCATTGATACCGCTGATAAAAACGGAAGTCGAGAGAAAAGTGATGCTAAGCGCGTATGCTAATAGCAGTGTAATTGAACGAAACCGATTATCTATCAATTATCCCTATCCGGTCGGGTTTTTCAATACCTATGCTGCTGCAGCATCGATAGCGGCCCATCATCATCGACAGCATCTGCCACAGCAGCAAAGTGTCACAGTCCCGACGGTCCTGAACAGCTTGTACCAAATCGAGAAGAGTGATGAAAACCAAAACAGTATTTTCAGCGCCACGAGTAACAGTTCTGGCAATGTGTGCACTAATAGCAACAGTAGTGATATGCATCCTTTCTTCGGAATGGATAATGCAGATATTCTTGGATACAGCATAGCACCCAGAGAGGCATCGCCCGTCGGCACTTTTACACTCGGCTTTTCGGAGTATTCGTTTCAGTGTCAAATCTGTGATAAGATTTTCGGCAGTCAAGATACGCTGATGGTGAGTAATGATTTGAATCGCATGGTAAATATCAGATGCACAAGCAGTAAAAAATATAAAATTACAATAGAAATTCCAGTACTAATAAAATAAAAATCATCGTAGCTGCCACAATCTTATTGGCATGCGCAATCAAAATACAATATAAGGTACACCGGGGCAAGTGGGACCTAAAAATTTGATAATCATTATTTTAAAATTTCAAAAGCACATACATTATCTATTGGCATCACTAGACAAGTGTAGGGACATAGAAATCAAATATTCAACATAAAAAAATCTCTAATATCATATTAAAAAAATGTGCAATACGCCCGTTCACCGGGGCAAGAGCGACCTGGTTTGTTGTTGTTTTTGTTTTTATAATCACTTTAACACTCTTGGGTCATTCGTGACTTGTCCATGGATGAGATTTGAACTCGTGACTTTGGCGTGCGAGGTATAGATGCTAACCTTTACATCGGGACCGTCCAACGGGTCCTGGTTTAGATTTAGAATACGAATATCGAAAAAAAAAGAAATTTATGCTAGTGGAACAGCATTATCATATGTATATGTGCTTGAAGTACATATTTTTGAAAAACACTTCGCATACGAACAGAACAGCACTAGATAAAAATTGATAAGTAAAGCTGATTAAAAAGCATTCAAGCAATACATCAAATAAATGATCAAAGTGGTAAAGAACCAAACGAAAAAATTAAAGGGTTGTGTCCTAGATACGACCGCAGTATGACGTAGAACTACGCAAAATTGATGTATGTCATGCATTTTTGATTATTATACTTTATCTTGAATTTTTAAGTATTTCAATGTTTCGTTTATGGTTCAAAACTCGCGACAATTCATGTTAGCATAATCAGACCACGGTTCATCTTACGCATGAGATAATGTATTTAAATTTAATGTAATGGTTAAGAATTGACAGAATTTCTCCTACATAACTACCTTGAGTTGATCAATGTTGAGTTATTTTGCTGTGATCAATGTACACTAAATTTAACACGACATCGACTACAATAGGAACTGACACTATTTCGTCACACATTTTTTGTTGATTTGCACCTCAGTATAGTACACAAAAACGCCATGCATGTTGTGGGATAAAACAATTGCCAAAAAATACATTAATTTTTTTTTCAGTAGCTCCATCATTAGTTTTTAGTTAGGTTTCTGAATCAGAGAAGAAAATGAAGATTGCATTAAGGTACACCGGTGCAAGTTGAAACAGTACGTATATCTCTTTGGAAGTGAATATTCACTGTAATTATTTTTGAGAGGCATTGTGTACTACCGCAAATTAGGGGAAATAGATGTAATGTCGGCCTAAATGCCCCTAATTTGGGCACATACATAAATTCAGCAATCGACTAAATTTTCAATAGCGACCAAAAATATCCATTACAGGGCTGGTAGTGAGTATGTGATTGAATAGTAGTGACTTTAGTGACTAAAATAACGAAAATAGTGACCAAATAGTGACTTTTAAAAAATAAAAAAGTGACCAATAGTGACAGTTATTAATTGGAAAGATATGGTTTCAATCTTCCGTTGATTGCGATTGCCACTTCGAGAAATTTTATAAACTCACAAACCCATCATGGGCATTTTTCATGTTTCTAAAAAAATAAAACAAACAATTTAAGGATCCCATTGTCCTCAAAAAATAAGTATGAATTGAATAAGCTGTTTTTTCAAACAAACTATCTACTAAGTTGATATTAGATCCAAATCACACTTTGATGATTAGATCACAAAATTGAGGCACAGACAAAATTGTTCAAATTCAAAGATTTAGACAGATTTTAACAATTTTAGGACAGTCAATTTTAAATATCTAGAATATAGAATAAGCGATGCGATTAGCGATTAGTATTTTAATTAAAAAAAATCGTTCTCCTCTTTGTAGCCGCTATAGCGCACTGGTCGTCTCTATTCCTTCCAAGAAGAGAATCTTCTGTAACACATAGAAATAAATTCATAACTGTGGGACCTAGACTTGGACCTAGACAACTTTTCTAGATCGCAAAAACATCTCATTTGTATGGAACGAAGAAAATTATCCCAGATGGAAAGATCACGGACATAAAGCAACATTTGAATGCGTCTAGGACTAAAAATCTCGATCGTGAAAAAATAGGGATTTAGGGATGCATTTTAGAGTTTTGGACAAGGGGTAAGTCACTCAACACATTATGCCGAAATTAAATTCGGCACAACTTGGGCACATCCATCGGCACATCTTCGGCACAATTTCGTAAGTATTGGTACATTTTAAATAAAATGGGAGCACTGCTGGACAACTGTCATTACGTGCTGTTTGACTGTATATTCAGTAACATCCTCTAATTGAATATACCAGAGGAACTCAGACGAGCAGTTAGCTTATAGATCTAAATACGAAATGTAGGTTCTAGAGTGGGCTCAAAAGACAGAGGCAGTTGATCAGACCTCATGAATACCCTTAATTCGAATAATGCTGCAACTCACACCAAACAAACTACAGAAGTCTATTCATCATCATCTATAGTCGATCTTGAATTATGTTCCCAACCGGTTCCAAATCTTTCCGGCCGCTAATAGACCGTTGCTTTTCACATCACGAAAGGCTAGGTTTCTGATCTGCTTTTGAGGGCATTATAAAACCCTAAAACACAGGATTTTTATTGTCCTATGAACACAAAACATCATAATTTCGCACACCCGCCACTTCCCGCGTCATCCTCAATCCGATTTATCCTTGCGATTTCAAACCAAAACATTCAAGGTGTCAGAAATACCCGGTTGCCGGGATGGGTATTTTACAAACAATCGCAGCTTGCTCTATGACCGGCACAATCGGCTCACTTGTGGTACACTGACAAATAAGATGACCCAAGATTGGACCTATCCCTTGGTTTTGGACAATTTTTTTTGGCTTCAAAATTCGAGATCACCGAATTGAGAAAATTGCAATGCCTGACATAATTTTCCAATTTTTTTACATATAGAATGTAAGTTAACAGTCCTTGAAAAAATTTAAATGCTTCTGAAACATATAAAATAATATGTTATTGCCATGGACATATTTTGTTTTTCTAAAACCTGGACCTGGGAATTTGTTTTCGTAGTTCCGGATTATTCGTACGAAACTTAAAAAGGAACTCCTGATTCTGTGACATGATATTTTCGGTGTTTGGACAAATGCTAAAGCTACCGGGTGTCAGAGATTATTCAAATTCTGACCTTTGAAAAAATGTCGAGAGCACTTTCCTAGACTACTTTTTGACATTTTAGGCTTGGAAAACATGCAAGATCTCGAAGGAAAATAGCCAGACTACTGGGTCTAGAATTTTTTCGGAACCTCTGACAATTTGTGATAGGTCTAAAACCAATTCGAGATCAAACAAATAATCTTTCTAACACACATTAGATACCAAATAAATCTGTGATTTGATGTAAGTTTTTAAAGTTTGTTTTTACCCTCAACATGGTAGTAAAAAAGTGACTTTAGTGACTAAATTTTAAGGAATAGTGACTTTAGTGACCTTTTGATGAAAAAAGTGACTTTTTAGTGACTGGCTTGAAAATAGTGACCAAGTCACTAAAAGTGACCTGCTACCAGCCCTGCCATTAGTACCGTCCTGAGGACGCGTTCATCTAGATAAAATTGATAAATAGCAGATTTTTAGCGATGGGCCCAATCTTAGATCCATAGGCCAACATTAGAGCCATTTCCCGTATATTAGAAATAATCTGATTATTCACTTTCGCTAAGAACTACATCTACCGTTTCAACTTCCCCACGCGTTTCTACGCGTTCCACTAGAGTACGGCAGTAGCACTTTGAATATACTTATTATAGTTTCGGTTAATAAATATTGTTGTTATTCCAAATTCCAAAGGGGCTACAAAATGGTGAGTTGACAACCTGGAAGGAGCGGAATACCTAGCCCTGGTCCTCACAAGTTCCTACTTCACGCCTCCTCGAGTCATATGATAACAAAAGACTACCAGCTGAAACATGGACACAGCTGGTTGGCGTAGCCTGGGCAATGTTGCCAGTCCGGCAATAGCAAAGTGAAGAGGTGCGACGCGAACACTGGCGCGGTAACCATAGTACGGTGATAGAGGAAATGCTTCACCAAACCTGAGCGTCTGCTCACCATGGAGGTGCGGCTCAAAACGGCGTCTGTTCTCCATGTTAGGAGCGGCTGATCACCGTCCTAGTGCCAGCGTGGGACTCTAAACAGAGCTGTGCACGATGGTCCCCCGGCGAGACAGGGGGTTGGGGCAGGCCCAACAAGCCGCCCTGGAAAAAAACAAAGTTGCAAATACCGAAGAAAGAAATACGGATCGGAACAATCGGCACAGACCTACGCGACGAAATAAGGACTACGATTGGAAACTCGGAACATGGAACTGCAAATCGCTCGGCTTCCCGGGCTGCGATAGGTTAATCTATGACGAACTTCAACCACGCAACTTCGAAGTCGTAGCACTGCAGGAACTTTGCTGGACGGGACAAAAGGTATGGAAAAGCGGGCATCGAGCGGCTACTTTCTACCAGAGCTGTGGCACCACCAACGAGCTGGGAACCGGCTTTGTAGTGCTGGGTAAGATGCGCCAACGCGTGATTGGTTGGCAGCCGATCAACGCGAGGATGTGCAAGTTGAGGATTAAGGGCCGTTTCTTCAACTACAGCATCATCAACGTGCACTGCCCACACGAAGGGAGACCCGACGACGAGAAAGAAGCGTTCTATGCGCAGCTGGAGCAGGTGTACGACGGCTGTTCGCAACGGGACGTCAAAATCGTCATCGGCGACATGAACGCTCAGGTAGGACGGGAGGCAATGTATAGACCGGCAATCGGGCCAAACAGCCTGCATGCCGTATCGAACGACAACGGCCAACGATGCGTGAACTTTGCAGCCTCCCGGGGTATGGTAGTTCGAAGTACCTTTTTCCCCCGCAAGGATATCCACAAAGCCACCTGGAGATCACCTGACCAACACACAG